CCCGAATCACGTGTGGAAACAAGTACTGCTCAACATCAGACATACACTTAAAAATGTTAGCTGTATGCTGGATTGACTTTTAGGGTCATTTATCGCATTTAATGAAATGCTTACAGAAACATAAGCATGAGCTGATGGGCATTAACAAACTGTTAGATTATTTTATGCAATGTCCATTTCTGAGAAACTGCTTAGTATCTTGAATAGTTATTTTTCAGCTTGTGTAAGCAGGAAGGTTTAGTGACAAGCCCCAGATCTAACTGGTGCTTTAAGCTTTGATTCAGGCCTTTTTCTCTGCACAAATTCCCCCCAGAGCAGAGGAAAGCAGGCATGCATTACCTGACATCAGGGGCTTCTCCATCCTTTCTCAGTTTCAAGAAACCTCCCCTTGGGGCCCCAGGTGCATGGAGAGACAGCAAGGGAGGGGACATCATCCCAGGGACACAGCGAGGAGGGTGAGCACAAGGACTTGGCATGGACCTGGGCTCATTGCCAGGCTCTGAGCAGAGCGCTGGCATGGCAGGGCCATGGGTGACACACTGCTTGAGTTTCCTGCAGTGTAAGATTTGTAGACATGCTCTCAAATTGACCTGACCCTGTAGCCAGGAGCAATCAATTAAAGAAACTTTTCCCCACGTAATCTGTTGCAGAAATTGTGCTTTTATGACAGCTTGCCCTTGCTGGATTGCCCTTTCTAAGGTCACGGTACTCCAAGCTTGAGATTTGCCAAGGCTGATATTTAAAAGGCGCTGCAGGCACCTCGGGCACCTCTCTGGAAATTGCTGAGGCTGGCGGGTTTATTTGCAGTGTTTTATGATCTGGGACACACCACAGGAGCCTCCATGCAACTGTTCTGCTGGCACATGGACCTGTGGTGATGCCGGAACAACACACACGGAGGCTGTCCTGATCAGTAAGAGAAGTTGGCTACAAAATAAACATGCGGGAAACAGATCTCAGAAGATGCAGCCTACAGGCATTCCTCATCCTGTCTCCTTCAAGCACCTGCAGACTCCGCCGCTCTGTGCCTCAGTTTGTCCATCTGTAAAATGGGGATCTACCCTCCACTAGCATGGCTCCGAAATCTGCCCATCTGGGAGGGTGATTTTGCTGTGATTGCAGTTCACATGAGCATTGGCTCAAGCAAAGTGGAGCTGGAGGCAAGATTTCAGGGAAACACACCGTGTACATTCCTGGAGAGGATTTCTGAGGAATGTTTTTGCTTAATTTGTGTTTTGTATCTGCACAGTACTCTTCTGCCTATCTCATGAGCATAATGCAGGAGAAAGGATGTGGCTTTAACAGGATAAAATATGAAAAAAAGTCCCTTTTTGTTTTCAATGTAAGAAATTAAATTTGATTTTAGTTTCCTTCCTTTCTTTTAACAGCTGTGGCACTTTGTCTGTCTTGTTGGCTTTTGCTTGGCTTTCAAGTCACGCAGAAGACATTCATGCATGACACCTTAGTCCGTGTCTCTGTTCACACATCGAATGGAAAATGCACGACTGTCAACAGCGCTACTGCAGACTATTTATCCATGCAGTCCTCATCAGTGCAGGGATGAGCAAAACATGTTTTGCCTGCCAATCTCTAATCAAGAGGCCAGATTAGCTGGCACGGTGGCTGCTTAGCTCTGTTCTGGGGAGCCTATGCTCACGCTGGTGAAAATCAGGAGCAATTTAGCTAAATTCAGTTTGCAGGTACAGACCTTACAAGGTCAAACAAAACAAAAAAATGCAGCCTACAAAGAACAAAAATCAATGACTAGGAGCAACAGCAGAACAAAACATGCTTTGGAGAAGGTTCCAGTATGAATATTGTGAAAATGAGAAAATTTTAACAACAGTTAACAGTCTGGAAAGGAAAAATAACTGGCTTGTGCAAAATATTCCCTTATGATGTGCGTTCCTCACAGATATTTTCTACTTTGCTGCACCTTTCTCAAAAATATAATGGCAGCCTCAATGGTGTAATAACTTTTCTGGCATAGTTTTGCTTTCCAGCATCAAGAGGCTGAACCCCCGGGCTAGGGGAACAAGCTGTATGCTTTTTCTGGGTTTTGTCTACCTTCCCTCTTCAAGAAATGGCTTTATTTTGCAAAGGGATGCAAAAAGCATTCCTTCCAGTTTGGGCAGAATTTATACATTCATTTGTACAAGGTTCAAGGCAGGAAGAAACATCCCATCTACCTAGCAATGGTTAAAGATAAAAAAAAGGCAGTCGAAGATGAATATTGTTAAGCATGTAATTATGAGCTCAGTGGGGAAAAAAAAAAAGGAGCTTCAGAGTTGTGTTTTATTTGCAAGCTTTATTTGACTGCAACACCTGCTTTTGATAAGATTAACTCTTACTTACTTAGCATGCAATTTTGGCACCAACTATTTGTCATTAACTTCGCTGGAGATGCTCATTTCCAGCGCCTGAGATATTTTGATAGTCTTGCTGTGCTGCAGACATGCACAATGGGGCAGAGCTAATTTGCTGTTTGCTGGGTTAATGAAGATACACACTAAAAAGATTATGAAGAAGAAGAATTAGCACATGAAGGATTATGAAACCAACAATTTAGAGTAATGTATATATACATCTATATATAGGCAGTAAGATTCTTAATTTGATGTTTCCATTCCAGTTTTACACAGCCTTTCACCATTGCCTTACTGATGCCTTGCGTTGCTTATTTTTTCAACCAGTTGCTGTGATTACAGTGGAGCTCCAGTCTCACTATTTGGACATGCACAAGGCCAAAGCACGCCTCAGCCCTGTGTCAGCCCTTTCCCTATGGCCTCTCCAGCCATTATCCATGCTGAAAGTGAGACTGCCGACAGCAGCACTGCTGCTAATGCAGGCAGGAGGAGGTCTGGTCAGTCTTTGGTGGCAATTTCTCTTTTGACAAAGAAGGTGGCATTTCTCTTACCAGACCCTGGACCCCTCCTTTAGAGATGAGGGCAAGAAACAGCTTCTCCCTGGGCTCCACTCCTCCTGAGGTGGGCATCAAGAGCAGCTCAGGTTTGCGCATTTCCAGTGACTCAGAGCACAGCAGTAGGCGTTTGTCATGATGCCGCGGCGAGCAAAAGCTGCCTGCCCATGTGGATGCTGCGTGCTGCTTAAAACCATCGCACCTGCAGGCATAGCCCCGCTGTGCTGCCCGAGCCAGCAGGCAGGGCTGAAAGTCGCTGTCCTGTGAAATTGCAAGGAGACAACCCAGGCTCCCCATCCGTCCTGCACCTTTGGGACGCTTCGGGATCTGCAGCTGCTGAGTTTGGCTCCACAGGATGCTGAGAGCTTACAGACCGCCCTCAGGTTAGGGTAGCTTTTGTCTTCCGTAAAAAATTACATTTTCATTAGCAGATGAGATTGTTAAAATATTCATAGGCAGGCGCTTCTGGCACATTCAGGCATGTCTGGAGAGCCACAGGACACGGGCTCTGTTTTTGCCAGGGAGTATCCATAAAACATCAGGCCCCGCAATGGGTACAGTGTGCCCTTGTGGGCAAAACCAAAACAACCAGACAGCAGGAGGAACGGTGTCCAAAACATTCTGTCAAAATATTTAGAGCTGAAGGTTGTTTTTTCTTGGAGTGATTTTATCCCCCAGCTGTTTTGGGATTACTATGTGGGTTATATCCCTGCCCTGTCTTCCCTCCCACAAGCATTACTGCCCCATCTGGCATTACTCCCTGATAGCTCTCTTAATCAAATGTCACTTCATGAGCTGTGTGATGGCACCAAGGAAAAATTGTCCTTTGATAAGCGATAGGAGACCTGGGGAGACAATTAATATGAGAGGGTTCCTGTACAGCACAGAGTCATCCTTGCACAAAAAAAAGGCCATGTTTCTGTTAATGCACCTCGGGCTTCACTGAAAATAAGGCCAAGAGAGCCAGCTCTTGCATGGATGGATTCCAGAGATGCTGCTGGAAAGGGGCAAAGGTTGGGCTGCCTCCTGCCATGAGGGGATGTGGCAGGGGTGCAGACGCTGCAGTGATCCCCAGGAGATCCTCAATTATCAATCCTCAAACTTAATTCCTGGATTTGCGATGGTATTCCCAGAGTTGTCCACCTTGAAGCCCTATCATGAGGTGCTGTACAACATACAAAACAGGGATGGGACTATAAAGCTGGGCATAGTTCTGTAAGATTGGACAGAGTTAGTGATGAGGGAAATCTGAAAAGGCTCAGAGCACGCCTTGGTTTCTGTAGCTAACCACCTGATGCAGCCCATTCCATGAGAAAGTGGATAGAAAACACGCTTTCATCAGGCTCCAAATAGAGAGACTCGCATGGCCAGCTTCAGGAAAAAAAAAAAAAGGGAAAGAAAAGAAAAAACAGCTTAAAATTCAAGGCAGCAGTGTGCAAACCTATTTGGCATTCATTGTCAGAGGAAAATTAATTTTGCTCAAATTTTGCCAGAGCACCTCATTAAAGCACTTCCAGGCCTCAGGGGCTTTGAAGGTGAGCAGAAGCCCGTGCAGCCACCCAACCCCATCTGTGCCCCACGCACCCCAGCACGTCGCCACCCCACAGACCCCCACAGCTCTGCCCAGCATGGCCAACTTGCTGCGCAGAGCCAGATCCAGCCCTGAGGGGCACATCCCAAATCCCCCAAATCCCCAGCTGCAGCACTGGGCATTGGAGGGGGCTGCAGCGCCAGGCCCCTCCGCGTCCTGGTCCCCACCGGTGTGAAAGGAGAGCAACCCCACGCTGCTTCAGTGGCCCACTTTGGAGGTGCTCGTTGTGAGGGTGAAATTCAGCCTTCTGGCTTCACCTCCGCCTTGCTCTGTCGTTGCTGCCCCTACCCTGTTTGGAGCCCATCCCTGTTGGTGCCCTGTGCAGCTGGTGGCTGATGAAGCAGGTGCTGAAACTTGGTTTTTGCCTTGTCTTTGAGGTCTGTGCCCTTCTTCCCCCAAAGGAAAAGATGAGGAGCAAGAAAAAAACCCTGTTTGCTACAGATTGTGACTGGCTTGTGTACTAATGCTGCCTTTCTCTCCTTGTTTTAGGGAGTGCTGCCGATTTTTTGGAGACAATGGCTTGACTTTGAAGGTGTTTTTTACCAAGGCAGCACCCTTTGGTGTTCTTTGGACACTCACAAACTACCTTTACTTACATGCAATAAAGAAAATAAACACTACGGATGTCTCCGTGTTGTTCTGCTGCAACAAAGCGTTTGTGTTCTTGCTTTCATGGATCGTTCTGAGGGACAGGTTCATGGGAGTGAGGGTAAGTGACTCCTTACCTCTGTCTCTTTCTGCCCCCTCTCCCTCTGCCCTTCCTTTCATCTTTCCCCAAGCAGTGCCCCATGCAGTGTCAGCACAGAAACCCTCGGAGAGGGGGATGAGCCCTCACCTGCAGCCTGGCTCCCTGCACATTTCCCACCAGCAGAGAGGAAACCTGCTCTGGAGCATGGCGTGAAGGCTAGCTGCAATATCCGTGCTGCTGTGAGCAGACACCAGCCTTTGCCTGGCTCTTCCGATTTAAAAGGTTTCCAAGAGCATTGGAAACCCCACGGCCCCCACTGACCCTGCTGCCGTTTTGGCAGCCCTCAGCATGCGGTGTCCTCTGGCAGCAGAGCCGGGCAGATGGGCAGCTGGCACCCACCGCGGAGACCCAGCGGTAGCTGCAACCAAAAGGCACTGCTGAGTCCCTCCAGCCTCCCTGCATCAGCAGGAGCTGCATTGGTATTTACAGAAATGATGGCAGTAATGTCTATTTTTTGCCCAGTGCTTCAAGAGCTCCCTGCTCATCAGCCTTGGCAAAGTTTTCAGCACTCAGGAAAAGCTGCGTTATCTCTCACTGCTGAGAGTTAACTTTTGGGGAAGCGTTGCTCTCTGGCAGGAGCACTTGGACAGCCCAGTGGTGGTTGCAGCCAAGAGGCAGCTCAGGGGAGCATTGCAAAACGCCCCTGCCAACAGCCCGGCCTTGCCAGCTGGTGTCTGTGCCTGCCCATCCAGCTTCCCAGGTAGCAGGACGCAGAAAACAAATTAACTGCTGGGCTTTTGGTTGGTTGGTTTTGCTTTGTTTTGTTGTGGTTTTAATGCATAAGGAAGGGTACCCTGAAATGCTCCCGGAGGCAGGGAAGTGTCACTTTTATCCCAGCTGGCCCTGCTGGCCATTTTGATCAAAGTGAAAAAAACAGGTATTTTGCTGGTGTTCATCCATCCTGTGGCAGTGTCAGTGAGCAGCCTGTACTGCTGGTTGGGCCCAGGAGAGGAGGTGTGTAGATGTTTGAGCACTGAACTCTGTCAGCTTGCTCCTTGCTCTGTCACACGGGGACATGTGGACTCAGGAGCAGGGACATTTCTTATGCACTCTCTGTAGTTGCAACCACATCCAATTGTCCTTTTTTTCTTGTCCACACTGCCTCGGGAAAGGACATCACAACAGCCCTGCCACCCACCTCCGTGTGCCCCAGTGGGAGCATCTCCATCTCCCGCAGTGAAGCTGCAACTCTCCCCTTTGCACAGTGACCATCCCAGCAGGGCACGAGCTGCCCTGCTCCTTTCACACAGGACACGTGCAGTGAAGCTGTGAGTGCCTGGGGTGCTGCTTCTGTAAGCCCTGAGGTGCTGAGACATCCTCGTGGGCTGGTCGCTGCGGTGCAGCTGCTGCTAATCCAGCGCTTGAGGGACAGGCTGAAAGGCTTGCTGAGAAAGCTAGGGTGACACTCCTGGCATGTCCACAGGCCGAGAGGTCAGGGCAAGACTGATCTGACACTCATGGCATGCTTGGTAGAAGAGGTAAGACCTTATGCCAGAGCAAAGCTGTTTGCAGAGTGGCTTCATTTGCTTTGATCTGTGCCCTCAGTGTTTCCCTTCGTGCTACAGTAAATAAAGCAGCTCAGCGTTTAAGGGAACCACTGCTTGCAAGAGCCTCCTGCATGCATCCTGTAGAGACACGCACACCTGTCAGTGGGACTTGGAGACAAACATATCCTCAAATCCCAAACCGTGGTCTTCCTTCCCAGCAGAGGCCCTGCCTCCAGGGAGCCACTCTGAAAGCTGCCAGCCCCTTACGTTCAAATCAAACCTGATGCTTTTTATTCTGCCATTCACTGCAGTGGAGGTGCTGCCATTTGAGGCTCAAGGACTTCCTGAAATAGAAGTGATGTTGATATAGTTAATGGTCCTTGATGGACTTTTTTCCTCCCTGAGTTTATCCTTGTAAACTTCTCACATGCAGAGCAAGGATACCCTTGGCTGACTTACCCATCGGGTGAAGACAAATCCCCTTTTGTTTGTTCTGCACCTGCCCCACGCTAGTTTTGTTTGATGCCCTTTTCTTCCATGCTTCTGTATCCACACTGAGCATCTGCCTGTCCTTTTATTTTATTTGACAAGCAGCAGCTTGCTGATGTGAGAGGACTGCTGAGCGCTGCTGAGCTCCTTCAGCCCTGCCCACCCAGGACAGCCCCACGCTGCTCTAGTGCCAGGCATCATGTTTTTTGTTTTCTCTCTCCTTGCCTTTAAAAACAAAGCCTGTCCAGGCTGGCGGGGCATAGCTACACCGCCAAGTGTCCCTTTAGAGAGACACTTCCCTTTTAGCCAGGGAGGCTGCGAGCAGAGGCAGCATCAGCTCTGTGGATACCTGCCTGGGGCTGCTACTGGTTTCCTGCCTAAGGACGGGGGCAGGTGATGCAGAAGTACCTCTCATGTAAAGCTGCCCTCGTGTTTCTCCCTGCTGGGGGCTGGCCAGTAACACTCGCTTTCTTTGTTTGTCCCCAACCAGATCGTGGCTGCTATATTTGCTATTGCAGGGATTGTTATGATGACGTACGCTGATGGGTTTCACAGCCACTCCGTGATTGGGATAGCCCTGGTGGTGGGCTCTGCCTCAATGTCTGCTCTCTACAAGGTAAGCACACCGGGGCTCCCCGCCGAAAGATGCCAGTCACCACCGCTGACTGGCACTGCTCCTGTCTTGCTTTACAACCCAGAGGTTCACAACCTCCATGCAGTTGGGCACCACCTGCCCTTCTTTGCGGACCTCTGCCATAAACACAGCTGTTTGCTTTGTCTGATGCCTGCCCTCAGTTAGGACAAAGCCTTCCCGGGAAGGCAGAGCTGGAATGCCAGCCCTGCAGGGAAGTGGTGCGAGAGTTACACCAGCCCATGTGGTTTTGTCTTGTAGGTTTTATTCAAACTTCTTCTGGGCAGTGCAAAATTCGGAGAAGCTGCCTTATTTCTGTCCGTGTTAGCCGTCTTCAATGTTCTCTTCGTTACCTGTATTCCTGTCATCCTTTATTTTACCAAAGTGGAATACTGGAGCTCTTTTGCCGTTGTTCCTTGGGGAAACCTCTGTGGATTTTCGATTCTCTTATTGAGTGAGTACACACTGGGATCTCGTGCTGCTCGGGGTGGAATAGCATGCCAGAAACTGGCCACTAGTGGAAGCTGTAGCCCTCTGAACTACTGCAGCTGTTTCCCCTTATTCTGAACCTAAGTTTTAGCTTGATAAGGCATTCAGGCGGCCCATTCCTATGTGGAACCTACAGCTTTTCTAAAAAAATAAAATAATTTTTTTTAAAAAGGACAAAAAAATGCAGTCACAACCAGCTAGTTGTATGAAATCTCCCAGATGAAAAATATTGCCTTGGGACAGAAAGCAGGAATTGCCCAGGACTCCACCTGTATTTCTGGGCATTACACTCAGAGATGGGCTGTACCTAAACCTCACCCTGATCCTGCCACTGGACTCCGGTGGGGTAAAGAGTTCCCTGGGAACAGCAATGTCTTGGGCAGACAGACGTGCACAGGTATCTTCCAGGAATACCAGCAGAATTTAATATGCTTTCTATATGCACAACGTACAGAGAGAGTAATAAAGCAGGAGTATTTTGCTTTGCCTAGTTTCACTGGAGTAAAAAGTGGTTTTCTTTCCTTCTTCAGCATTCAATATTCTACTAAATTTTGGAATCGCTATTACGTACCCCACCTTGATTTCTCTTGGAATTGTACTGAGTGTGCCAGTAAATGCGGGTAAGAATTTCTGACTTTTGCATCCTAATGAGTACATGAAATTTGTGGCCTTTCAAGTATCTACCGAGGATAAAAGCAAATGGCTCTGTTAAAGACATTTTACATCTTCTCTTAAAAACTTACGTGGATGACACTCATTAAAAATTTATAATTTAATTGTTAAATACGTGTTGTATGATATTGCATGACTATTCATAATTCCTAGAATTGCTTTTTAAGTTACTATCTGAAGAAGCCAGCGTACTGAAAAACAAACTAGATTTGAAGTCATCCATCTCCAGGCTGGGATGAACACTCAGAGATGAAGTAGAAATCAATTCTTAATGATTTTTTTCCAGGCAGGCTTAATATTAAATTGAAACAAATAGAATTAAATACATTTTAGAGCAAATTTGTGTTAGTAATTCTGCTGGCCTTGGTAAATAAAAGAGCAGGTGTAGAGACTATGAGGCAGTGAGGCTGGGCAGGGGAGCGGATAGGCAAACCTGGCCCAAACCACAGCCCCCCTCTTTCTTGGCTAGGCATCAAAAGAAACAAAAAATACATTATCATTTACACTTCCTAGCTCCTTAAATGAACCAGGGCCTGCTGTGACCTGGGCTTGCACCCTGCTGTGTGCTAGTCCAGCAGAAAGTCTCCTTGCCACCATCTCCCCATGGCCACGTCCTCCTGTGCAGCCCAGAGCCAGGGAGCTGAGGGGAGGGAAGGGGGTACTGCCCTCGTGCTTTGTCCCACGTAATAACACCAGTTCAATGTCCCACACAGTGGTTGATCACTACACGAGTGAAATTGTCTTCAACAGTGTCCGAGTAATCGCCATCGTCATTATTGGCCTGGGTTTCCTCCTGTTGCTCTTGCCAGAGGAATGGGACGTCTGGGTGATAAAGCTGCTCACGCGTCTCAAGGTCCGGAAGAAGGAAGAAATCCCCGAAGGGAATGGAGACATCACTTCAGGATTGCCTAACAAAAGCCGGAGAACTCGCCCCTCCATGTCATCCTTTGCTCATTAAATGCTCTTTTTACCAAAACTTTGTGGTTAACCTTATATATGATGATGCAAAGGTCTTTTCTTGGGAAGAAGCACACCTGTCCAACACGGTGTACATACCTGTACAGTTTTGATATGATCACCATCTAAGGCATCAAGTCTTGGCATGTCCAGTTTGCTTGTACTTTTTTCACATCAGACCTTTCACTTAAGTAGTACACTGAAAAAAACTGCAAACCAAGAACCTCTCTTCTCTTTTTAAATGAATGTAATATATAGTCAAAATATATTTGCATAGGTTATTTTAAAGAATGATTTTCATGAAAAGCAGGGCAGACATTTTGAACATTAGGTACCGAATGATGCATTGCACACTGTGATTTAAAAGAAACAAATGCTATGCTACATCACATGTTTATTTTTTTGACCAGAGCTGTACTCTGATAGTTTTCAAGGAACCAAAAGGGAAACTTTACGGGGACAGGAAGATGGGGGGAAGAGTAGAAGGAGGGAAGTTCGGAAATCACTCTGTGTAGGTGAGCGCGTGCTGCGCTGGAACCGGACAAAAATTCAAGTGCTAAAAATGCCTGCACTAAAGCACTAGAGGGAAAGCAGTCTAGAGCCCAAATCTCCTGGTACTGCACGTGACTGTAGTCCACGTTTAAAACCATGCAAGAGAAATCCAGTGCCTTCTACAGAACTCTTGTCTTTATCCGCGCAGAACCAGGCCCCGCTGCGAGACGGCGGCACTGCGGGGCTCAGCCTTGCAGCCCGGGCACCCAAAATTCCCCTCCGGCACCGGGAAGTGCCCCCCACAAGCGCTGGGAGCACGGGGCCCAGGGGACTGCAGGTTTGTGTGCAGGGGACCTGGTTCTCCTCCCGCTTGCACAGGTTTTACCCCTGTGTGGAGCCGCACTCAGTTAATGCTAGCATGAGAAAGGGGAAACGGTGGTGGTTGCGTGGGGAAAAATCTGACCGAAAATGCACGGCGGAGCTGACGAGAGCAGGGTTGCTGATGTACAGTCTGAGGACACGGACTGAGGGGGTGAATCGCCAGTTGCTTTTACTCCATAATTGTGAGTGTTTAAGAGTTAAAAATGTAATATATTTACATCAAATGTAACACTTTTTATGAAACTTGTAAGCACCAGGATGTTTACTTACGCGATTTTGGTTCGCCATTAAATTTCTATCTGTGATAGATCACATGCTATGTAAAAAAGGGGGGGAAAAAAAGGTTATAGTTTACTATTTTTGAAGTTTACATTGTTGCATACAAAATTAAAAGTGTTCTTTTGAACTGCTGCCATAGCCTAAGGGTCCCTGCTGCCACTGAGGCCCTCTTTGTCTCAGGCAGGGGTGGCATCCACATCAAAACATTTTAGCAAATCAACTTCAGATTCCATTAGCTGTTTGGCAACGCTCAATAATAAAAGATTTTAAACTCAGCTTCTGTCAGTGCTGTTTGCCTCTCTTGGCTGCACCTTTACTCCAGTTTTGCTGTGGGTTGTATCCAGCCAAAGCGATCAGGTGGCAGAGACAGGATCAGCCAACCTTCAGCCCAGTCTCACAGCCCCAGCTATGTTGCAGGAGCTCTCCCTCTGCTCCCTCTGCTCAGAGTCCCACTGCCTTCAACACAAAGCCAGAATCTGAGCCCTGCAGGTGTTGTCCATGTGCCCTGGCACAACTTGAGGCCATTCCCTCTAGTCCTATCTCTAGTTATCTGTGAGAAGAGGCCAATCCCCAGTTCCCCACACCTTCCTTTCAGGCAGTTGTAGAGAGCAATAAGGTTTCCCCTGAGCCTCTTCTCTGGACTAAACAACCCCAATTCCCCGGGGAATAGTAAGGCCCCGGCCCAGGCTGTGTGTTTGTTCTCTACATCTCTCTCTGTGACCAAATAGACACTAAAGACTTGCCAGAGGAGATTACACATGCAAGCAAAAATCTGAGGCTGTGGGAAGCTGAGCTGCTCATCCCATTCAGGGTAACACAGCTCAATTTTAAAAATTTGGGGGGAATCAGGAGAGGTTAAGGTACAAGACAGGAGGACATGTACAATGCTAGTAACTGGCATGAAGGGCACACACACAGGCTTGTGTCTCAAAGCTCCCAGATTAAAATTTACTGCATCTTCAGGTATATCATTTTGTCACCCTCAAAGTATCCCACATCCTTCTGCAAGCTCCCTGGTGAGTTTAGGCCAAAGAAGATTGTAAAAAGAGCCCTTCTGTTTTCCATAATTCCCGTAAGTACCATCTTCTGTCATCTCTGCACTCCATTTTGGTGTGTGTTTGATGCAGTCCAATACGTACCTGAAAGGCTCTATATGATGTTTCAAAATCTGCACCTGGTGTGTGTTCATTGCTAAAATGGCAGCAGACTCTTCAGTGCTGAGTGCAGATCATGGGGGAATTTATGTACCACAGCAGACAGCAGCATCAGTAGAACTGAGATTTACAAAATGTGATTGTCATTGCTTCTGCCAGCTTATCCTTCCCGAGAACAGGCTGAACACAGGCGAGGGCTGGGATTTCAAACCTTATTTTATTACAGCATCTCTCCTGAATATGAGCCGAGGAAACTAGATTAACCCATTTTAAGCACTTCTAAACTACATACAGACTAATCAGATGAACTGAGCTACACTTCTTCAGGCAACACCTTGCCCAGAACACCTGGTTAAAGGCAAGCAGGTGCTTGATGAAACTTAGCAGAGTGAAGCCCAGGTGTGATGAGGAGACTGTCAAGAAAGCAGCACACCCGTATGGGTACATGTGGGCATCTGTGAGAGCCAGGGCTTCCCAGACCTGAAGCTGGAGAACAAAAGGAACTGGAGTCGTTGGCTCCCCCCAGAAGGAGAGGCAGAGAGCCAGCCCTTCTGAGAAAGCATTAGATGCAGCTGGGTCACCCTTCAGGCGAGGGCAAGACTGAACTCTCCTGATGATGGCCTGGTAAAAGATACACAGGACAAATTCAGTACCTTAGAGGTCAGGGCCGAGCTCTGACTCCCTGACGAGCCCCTGACGAGCAGGGTCCCTGACGAGCCGCAGGGGCACTGTGTGCAATCTCTGCAGCACGGTGTGATTTGGTCCTGCTGCTGGTGTGTATGGACTCCACACAGCTCTGTAGGGCAGCACCAGCACCACAGCCTGAGCCTGGAACCACCACAACAGGAGCCTGGTCCCAGGGAGGCCACCTCAGACCTCTTCCTGAGGCGGGCCTGCAGGAGGGGGCTCAAGTGCGGACCTGGGTTGGCAGCCTTCTGCTCCACCTCATCCCTCACAAAGCGACTTGGCTCCTCCCTGCTTATACATCCAGTGAGCTTGTATAAGCAGCAAATTGACAAAAATATCCAGAGAGTAAAGAGCATCACCAGGCCACTGCGGCTGCCCCCTTTCACAGCTGCACAATGCAGTGGTGAGGAACCCAAGGAAGGACCAACAGTTTCTCTCCCTCCCTTGCAAGTCTTTTTCCTTGCCCCCCTGTCTGTAGATGACTCCTGCTGCTGCCTTTATTTTTTGTTACAGCCATCCATAGTCTCATCACCACATGAGTCAGAGTCAGGCTTATATTAGAAAGTTTCTTCTGTTCTTCTGTCAAGGATGGTTGTATTCATATCAGCAGCCTTCAGAAAATAGCTATAAAAGGCAGAAATCCAGCCACAACACTCAGATGAACAGAAGACACTGCAACCAGCATCTAGCTTTGCCGTTTTAGGGGTCGGCCTCACTCATCTCAGGTTCTCCACAGTGCTGCTCTGTGTGCAAAGTGAGCACACGACTGAGTTGGTCAGGGCTGGCACAGGCCACAGGCTGGGGCTAGGGGGTTCTTCAGGGGATGGGGAAAGAACAGGAGCCCAAAGTAATGATGCTGGTGTGGAGCAGGAGCATGGGAAAGATAGGATGAGGACAGAAATGGCCTCATGCTGTAAACTCGGGAACCACAGGGAGCTTGGCTACATGCCCCTGATTTGTATATGAGACAGTAAGGAGTCCTGCAAGGCTTCCAGAACCGAGCTACTCCTCAGCAAAGGCCCGGGCTGAGAAGCTTCTCTCACAGTCCAGCCCTCACACAAGCTGTCTTTGCAGAAATAGCCAGCAGTAATGGATTTTGATGGACGAGTTTAATTAGCTCATAGTTATTAAGAGAAAAGCAAGTAGATTTTCTTCTTCAGTTGGCATGTTCTAAGGGCACCTCTGTGACAGCCTGCTCCTTACTTAAAAGTCTTGAACATCAAAAAGGGAAATAAAAAAAAAGGAGCTGAAAGATCTTTTGAAAGCAAAGAGGAAGTCAAATGAACAGCTGCCCACCTGCAGCCTAAATATCTTCTTTTTAGAGGAAATCATATTCCTAAGGGCAGGACCAGCAGCTCAAACTAAAGTTTCTGAAGATAAAATGCCTCATACTTCTCTCTTCTACCTGAAACTCTGTTGGAGGGAAACATACTATCGCTCATTCTATATGCACAAACTTATTCTAAGGAGGGTGGCGGCCTGCATTCCTCCATACATGACAGACACACTAAGATGCAACCAGCATACTTTTCAGAAACAAATAATGAAACATAAGGAGAGTTACAAGTCTGAAACCAGCCTAAAGGGTGGAGGCTGTGGAGCTCACATCAACACTTCATTTAAGAACCTGCTAAGTGCAATCTCTCTGCAATGGGACAGCATCTTTCGCCCAACTAATACATAAAGAAGACTGAAGCAGATGTGTTTTAAGGAATTACTCACCATAAATTGAGAAACTCTTTTGTGAGTGAAAACAGTTAACTTGGAGCCCCTCACCATGCGTTTTTGACTTTTTAACATTCCCATTACTTTGTGTCTATCAGTGCTGAATGACACCAGCTATTTTGCTGCCTGGCCACATGACAGTGAGAGATTCTCTCCCAGTTTTAGCTTTTGCTGTCCTGAATCAGTAGAAAAGTATGGTCAGTGATTGTCATCTTTTACCAATCATTTATAAATATGTACAAGACTCCTGTCAGTATAGCTCCTTTGATCATCTCTCTCTTTTGGAAGAAAAATCATTTAATCCTGCCTCACTAACCAGTTACTAGACCACATGAAAACCTTCTCCTTTGACCCACAATAGCTTAATTTCTTTGGTAAGAAGCTTCATTAGAAATTCCTCAAAAATCTAAGTACAATGCTTGCTATCCTCTCAAAAAAGCACCCAGATGAGAGTGTGGAAAGTCACCCATCCTTCAGGCTCCACTGAGCACAACAGGACAGGAATACTGAGCATCTGGGTCTTGGTCCCTTCTCTTTTGCCTTTCCTCAGTGGACAGTGGCTCTGGCTAGCGTCCGCAGAGTATTTACACCAACCTCCAGCTTCTGCATGTACCCACAACTGGCCAAGATGCTTAAGACTCAAAGCTGGCTTCCAGTGGGGTCCAAGCAGCGGGATGTGTGAGGACTTACAAGATGTGAACTTCAGCTTTGTTTCTCTGCCCTGCTGGCCGCTAGCATGCACGAAGGGCCAGTGAGCCCAGCTTTGCTGTCTACCAGCAATAGCTGTTACTGTCCCTCCGGTTTCTGAAGCTGCCAAGTCTTTAATGACTCTAGTCTAGTGAGCAAACAGAGGCAGCTGTATAATACTGTCCTTGTGATTTTTGGCTACATTTTAAATGCCTGCCTATATGTTTTGGCTATATATTTTTAATGCTTTCCTGACATGTAAACAAAACCATCTCCCTTTCCTTGAGTGATTCTGGATGCGATCAAAGGCATGTTACTTGCTAGCTTGGCTGCTATGAAAATTGACATTGATCTTCAGAGCAAATATTCACCATGTTTGAGAACAATGTTGCCTTTGTGCCTGTGAAAGCAATCCCATCTGGTACCACACACCCATGCTTCACTGAAACGTTTACAGTGAATGCAAAGGTGATCAGTGCAGCTGATGGATTATTAAATATAACACATGGATGCAAGCATTCAGCTGGCTTTTTGATAAAAAATTTTCGAGTATGTTTCAGTCTCAGAGAGAACCAGGGACCGCTTCTTATCTTTCAGTATCTATCATGCCATGGTAATTTGAAGGCACCCAAATGAAATTCATGAGTTTTCTTCCATTTACATGGCTTTGAAAATCAGTCTGTCTGCAGAATAGGCATATTCCCAGTTTCCCATCTGAGCTTTCTTGCAAGAAAGTGAACATCAACATTGCTGCAAAGCAAGATTTTGTCATCCTTCATGGGCTTGGAGAATTGCTAATCAGGAGCCAACAGAAGAATAAGAATTGGTCAGTATTCCTGCCTTACCATTGCCTCTCTTCCCCTAATACTCCTTTTTCTGTTTTCTTCCTTTCTAAAAACTGAACAACAAAAAAAGGAATTAAAGGCTTTAAAAACAATTGCCTATAATTAACACACATGACTTCAACGCCTCACCAGAATCCTCACACTCTAGGATTTTTTTATTTCTCTCATAACTTTTAGGTAGCCTAGCGATATTCAGACTATTCTACAGAGCACCTTGCTGATGTCCATGAAGGGCCTCAAACAAAGGCAGTCTTTTCTCTGTAGGCTTCACATTACTATGCAGAGTTGTGAAGAAGATGAAAATCACTGTTGTGTCTGTTCTCTCCCCTGTTCCTCCTCCACACCAGCCTGCTTCATCCTTCCTCATCAAATCCCCTCCAGTGCTTCCTGGGCACACGCAGCCCTCTGGTACAAGCAGAGCTAGCACAGAAAGCTGCGGTAGCTGTCCCAAAGCATTTACCTAATTTACTGTGTTCATGTCGCACTGGCAATCCCTATGGCAAGGATCACAACATGCAGCAAAAACAGCATGAGGAAATCAAGGTAAGAAACCCAACACACATTGCATTGAAACAGAACATGGAAATGCACATTTTGTTAGGGATTCAGAAAACTGGTTTGCTAAACCTACCTCCCAAAAATCTATTTTTCTTTCTCCTCATACATACTTCCATCTTTATTCATTCAAAAGAACAACAACAAAAATGCTAATTTATCCAAAGAAATTCATGTTGTTTTTAATAAATAAATAGAATTTAATATAAGGTCTTTATGAAATAATAAAAAGGAATGTTTTGAATAAGGCTACAGAAAGTATAGTATGTATAATATGCCTCTTTCAGACATTTAGCTATAAACATTTGGTATTACCTGCAAAGTTATGTAAAGAGAGAAGTAGAGAAGTTCTCTTTATAAGCATAGACAGATCATTTAGTAACATCGGTGGCTACTAAAAAAAGAACTCTTAATTATCAGCTGAGGAACTTACTAACTGTCTGTCTGTTCCTAAGCAATTCCCTTACTAGGCTCAGAAAATTCTTGCTCTAAAAATCAGTGGTCTTCTCTAGTGACTGATTCTTCAAGAGGGATATTTAGTTTCTAAAGCACTTTTAAAAAGTTATCTTAAAGCTAAAGATGACCTTTTCTGTTAAAGAATGACCTACTGCAATGAGATTTTAAGTCCCACTGAGCCCTAATAAACCACAAATGTAATTTCAGAAAGCAATGTGGGGAAGACTTCAACCTACATGTATAAAGATGGATGAATGTTTCCCCTCCACAAGAATGAGGTGCTTCTATGCTTGCCTTTGCAGATTGCATCTTCAAAGCTGATGCTGCTGCCAAGAGTAACCTGTGAGGGTCTGCAGGCAGCAAAAGGATGGAAGTAGAATTTAAAATTTGGTCTACAAGATCTCAAGAACTGGAAGGGGACCTTGCTGTTTAACCTGTTCCTGACTGCTGTTTACTTTCTCCCTTCTTAAGACCTTTCAGTAACAGGCATTCAAAGCCTCTAGATTTTTTTTTCCAGAGCTTCTGTGCTTCATGAAGTAGGACTGATGTACTAGTAGGCAAACATCCTTTCTCCATCCAGTGCTTGCCTTCAAAACACTAAGGTAAAATTCATTGTTTAAAATGAAATGCTTTTGTCTTCATTTAAGTGAGAGCTTCCCAGAGAGATGGCTGACGTCCAACCATTTAAGTAATTTCTGTTAAAACATTTTCAAAGATGAACAGAAAGAGGCAACTACTGTTTTCAGTTCATGGTATTTCTTTGCTTAATTTATTCATTTTTAATAATAAAACCAGACACAATTAATTATTATGATTTCTTTAATCATATTCCTTCCTCAGGCATTGCAAGGAACACTGGAAGAGTCAGAGTTACATCTTTAACAGATATCTGAAAAGCAAGAAAGAGAAAATATTGATGCATGGTTCTCTCATGCTACATATTTTTGTAATTTTTATTTTAAAATATGACTTGGTGCTCAGCAACAGAAGACAATGCCCTGAGCCACCTCAGGTACAATCCTGCTATTATTTCTAGCAAAATAAATAGTTGGGCATGGCGCTATGTAGGAACACTATTTCAAATGAAAGCCACTGAAAATTTATTATGGATAAGGATCATAATTTAGAGGAGGTTATACATGAGTCTTTCTATGCAAGAAAAACAAATTAATTGTGCTCTTGGTGTAAGCACAAAGCTGAACACAGCCATGGTACTTCAAGAAGTGCTTTCATTACTGGTCCTAGAGATACCTGTTACATGCTACTTGCTTCAGCAGTGAAAGGAGACATCGTTATGGCAAACAGTCCAGAATCTGCTGGGTAAGACCAGGTAAATACGGGGTAAGTAAGTCTGCAGATGAGGACAGATTTGTAAGGGGTTCATCGGAAGGCAGATCTGTATCCCAGTTAACAACAGGCACAGAAGAATCTGAGAGCTGAACTACTGTACAAACCCTACACAATGTACCTCAACACAGTCCTGGCAAGAGTGTTGGTGGATGACAGTCACCTGTTTCTTTAATATCTCGCTAACCATTAAGTGGAAACATAATTCAGAGGCTCCAGTTGTGGCAAGCAGCTCACCTCACAAATCTGGAATTATTTCAGCCTTTCATCTTTCTAGAACATTTGCCTCTGCCTGGCTATTATAAATATCCCATTTATTACTTACTGGGCACACTTCCCCAAAGCGAAGGGCTAAAGATAGATGCTTAGAATTGGCAAATTAACAACAACAACAAAAAAATCAGCTCCTTGTGATAGCAGTTTAGCCAAATGGAAACATTGTCATTAAAAATATATTAGAGAAATCTGCCTTTTTTCTGTTCACGTACTTTCTAAAGCCAGATCACTAGATTTCCATAATATCCATTACACAGAATTATTTACAAATGTCTTCAGCAAGCATTTCTTGGACTGCAAACCCTTAAAGAATAAACTATTTATCACAAATATCCCAGATGTGCTATTGGGGCTTTGTGATTAATTATATATAATCACATTATTCCTTCAGTTTCAGGAATGCACTAGGTAAACAACATTATATGCAGCATAAATTTTAAAATCTGAAACACAAGTGACACTTGCTATTACCACGTTTTGGTCCTGAAACTTAATGGCCATTTTCTTTTTAATATTCATGCTTGTAAAAGCTTGCATGCCTAAGAGCCACGAGTAAGATTACTTACTTCTGTATCAATTATTTTCAATAAAGCCCATAACTGAAATCCTGCTTTTGTAGTGACTTCTGCTCACCTTCAAGTCCCCATTATGTTAGAGATTAAATTACTGCATTTCCCTCTCCTACCCATCACAGTCTAGCAATAAAAAGGTGGTTAAAGTAAACAGAGATGATGGCACAGACTGTGTTAAAGACTGCCAGGTGTACTGCAGCATTCACATGCACTTTGCTCCCCAGAAACATCCCTCAGAGGAAGCATTTTGACAAAACGTGCCCCTTCCACATGGCCCTGCAGAGCCCCAGGTGCCGGCGGCTCAGTGCCCACCAGTTTGGGCTCATGTTGGAGGCCCACCCAGGCACCAAAACTTCATCCACCCCACAGCAGCAGCGCAGGGAGTTTCCATGGAAACAGGCGCTTCTGGAGCTGCACAGCACCTGGCGTTTACAGGCGGCTGGCGTGTATTTGGGCAAAGACCTTTAATTAATTGTGCAGCACCACAAACCCCCCCCAGTTCCCCTAGGGAAGCAGTCACAGCACCGAGCCTAATAGAGTTCAAGCAGCATTTAGGCAGCGCTCTGACACACGGTTTGTGCTTTGGGTGGTCCTTTGGGGCCCCAGGATGGATGGATGGATGGGTGGGTGACCCATGTGGATGCAGTTGGGCTATTTTGTTCCTCTGTGACTGCCACACGCAGCACGGCAGGGCTGGCTGCCAGCCCCCGGGGGAGGCGCGATGGCCGCCGCCCGCCCCGCCTCCGCCCCGCCCGCAGCCTGCGCCGGGCCTGCGCTTGCTCCTGACCTTCGGCAGGGCTGCTGAGGGCCGGGCCCTGCTGGGCCGAGCCGAGCCGAGCCGGGCCGGGCCAAACCGAGCCGAACCGGGCCGAGGAGGGCAGGGCTGAGCCGTGCCGAGCCGTGCCGGGGGTCCCGGCTGCGGGGAGGGGCGAGGCGCGGTGGCGGGCGCCCCGCGTCAGGCGTGAGGGAAGATGTCGGCGCCCAACATGCAGGAGAGGAAGGCGTGCTGGGGGGCGAGGGACGACTTCTGGAGCTGCCTGGAGGCGCAGGGGGAGGACGCGGCGCGGTGCCAGGAGCTGCGGCTGGCCTTCGAGGCACGCTGCCCCCAGCAGTGGGTGAGCGGCGGCCGCGGGGGGCCGAGCACAGAGGGGAGAGGGGAACACCGCGAGCCCGGGCTCCCCGGTAAATGGGCGGCCCGTAGGGGCGTGCAGCTGGGCAGCTGGAACTTAAAAAGGGCTGAAGGGGCCGGGAAAGCTTAGGAAGCAACAGGAATTATCGTTGGTAAAGGAGAACGGCTAATGGGGAAGGGAGGTGAGGCCCAGGGCTCACACCTGGCATCCTGCTGTGCATAAAACCCCTTCTTTGCACAGCAGGGCTTCACTGTGACCCATCTGCTTGCACATAGCTCTTCCATGGCCTGCATGCTTTTCAGTTTCCCAAGCAGAAGCTGCAATTCCTATCTGATTTAACAGGTGTTGCTTCTTGTCACCAGTGGTGTCCGAGGGGCTGAATGCTTCCTATTTGAGCCCACGGACCAAAATCAGCTGAACAAATCAGTATGCGCGCAGTGGCTGTGCTGAATTACACTTTGAGGGCTGCAGCTCTGCTGTGTAGGATTTCCAGTGCTGGTGGTGTTGTTTGCAGTGCTTTACAGAGGTCCTGCACTCTGCAATACCATAGAAAAGCTGCTGGATGTACCTGTTAGCCATGATCCCTGTTCACTACAGCAAAAAAATGCAACCCAGTAGCCTACTTTTATTAGATGTCTATGGGGATAAGGGGAGAGGTGATGACAGGCCGAATCTTCTCCTTCAGTCAAGCAACAAACTCCTAACTGCGGTAGAAAGCTAAAATACTACTTAAATTTATCAGTCAAAAGACCACATATTTCTCAGTCTTGTTATGATGCACAAAGGCCCTTTTTCTGCTAGTTTCTTATGATGAACATGAGTTATTTCTCTTTATAAACAGGTTAAATACTTTGACAAAAGAAGAGACTTTTTAAAATACAAAAAGAAGCTTGAAGCAGAAGGGTTTCATCCTCCAGAAACTGCTGGGAAGGCTTAAGTACTCTGCTTTCAAAGTATAGCTGATGAGAATAAAGCTGTGGAAGGAAGATGCGTGAGAAAGCAACAGAACCTGCTTTAGTGCAAGAACTCGAGGTCAAGAACTGCTTAACCTGTCTTCCTAAAATGCAGGCCACTGTTCTTGTTACGGGGTCTCACGTCTGCTGAAAAAAGGATGGTCATGGACAATCATGGACAACTTGAGTCAAAGTAGCATGGTGCTGGGCTGTTGGCAAATCTGAGGCTTTGACTGTGTAATGACAGTCATTGTTTCACAAGAATAAATAAATGATTATATGATAGCACCATGTACATATTCTAAAAAGAATAAAAGTGGTTTTCAGCAAGTGAGCTCACTTTTCTTGAAAAAGCTTTTCCAACTTTACTACCATATCAAAAGCCAGGGGAGGGTGGTTTATGTAATCTGCATTTATCATTGGCCAAGTGTTTCGAAGTATTTTAAAATATACTCACTTTCCAACAGTAGCCATCAAAAAGCCTAATGTATCCTGTGTATATGATACATAAGCTATGTATTTTTCTTAAGAAAGAGTAATGATTGTTGTTAGCTGTAACAGGTGGTTTCCAATCAGTATCTGTTGTAAGCAGGGCAGTTATTTATCACACATTATGGAACTTTCATGTAATTTAGAATTAATTACCTTACTGAAGCACTGAAGCAACTCCATTAAAAATACCTACCAAGGTTTATAGCAGGGCCAGTAAGCTTGACTATGAAGGACACTCCAATGAGGGACAGCACAAGACATTTGTGAAAGACTGGATTCCATATATATTTTGAAAGTTAAATTTACTTACACTACCTGGTACTGGAAGCATTAAGCACTACTCATACTAAGAGAATTTTTGGTTGTTGTAAGTGGAGGGCATGTGGTCAGTTTCAAATATGGCTGTCAATCAAAAATAACCACAGTAAAAATCCTCTGTTTTGAATTTTGGTATGTTTTGAATGTGGTTGTTTGTGGTACTGTGTTGATGGTCACAAAATAAATCACACACCACGTGCAATATAAATAGTATTTATTACCAATGCAACCAGTTTATTTAAGGAGGTAAAGCATTAAGGCATTTAAAAAAAAAATCACTCTGAACTACAGAGAACAAAACATGCAAAATGTAAAATCCTCATTCACCCTGAGTTGTATCTCCTCTGTTCAGAATTTCATGTTGTAGCACCATAGGAAGTCACCCAGATGTACTGTAAGGCACAAAATTCTTGGTAGTTATTTCTGTTTCTGCTTGATCACCTGTTGCCTTGTGTACTCCCAAATCAGCAGAGCCCCGCTGACATGAACATTGAGTGATCGAATAATACCCTGCTGAGGAATTTCCACACAGACGTCCAGGTGGTGAATCAGGTTTGCTGGGATTCCCTCGTGTTCATTTCTAGAAGAGAAGAAACAGCAACTTAAATATGGGGGAAGACAGATGTTCCAGAAAGCAGAAAATACAGAAGTCACGATAGCAACCAAATACCATTCAGAAAATGGAGCTTCTGCCCTTAAATGTAACTGGTGAGCACAAGATTATTATTATTAAAGCAAGTATACATTACTGATACAAAGAAAGCATGGGTGACCTAAGCTGTGATACAGGAAAAGTGGCAGAGCATTTTATCTTCAGTTCACTGGGCCAGCAACAGCTAGCACCAGGACTCCCCCATTTTCGTTTTGGACAATCCACGGCAAAATAAATAGCTGTAAATAAGATTAGGGCATGAAGCTGCTGGCACAGCAGGGGGGCTCAACTACCCGCTTCACTTGTGATGAGGTCTTGGTATGAGGGAATTTCAGACTGACCAAAATCTTCAACTGGAAATATTTCACTTCTTTAGAATGAGCACATCAAAAGATACCAAAGCTTTTCAGTAATTAAAAGCTATGATTTTAATTAGTAGAGAACAGAATTGGTTATGAAAACTACAGTCTAAAAACAAACTACATTTACATGTAAAAAGGGCTGAAAAACAGAGGTATTTTTGCCTACTTTGTCCTAAAAGGAGGGACAGCCCCTTCCTCCTGATCTCAGTTGGCAGCTCAGCAATTCCAGGATCTTTCTGACTTTAGACGCTTTATAGATTGCTTTAGCCTCTTCTTTGTCACATCTGAAGCTTCCTGGTTGTAGGAACTGATCATTGTTTTTCTCTAAAGTCCTCTCAGCCTCTGCTCAAACTACAAATGCTGTACCTGCTTCTACATGCCACATCTGCCCCATCCTGAATTTTTAAAGGGTCTCCCACGAAAAAGGAGTTGCAGTATATAGATTGGTTACTAAATATGAGAAAAAAGTATCTTTCAGGAGTAGATATCCATACTTCCCATCCATTAGTACACAAAGCCAAACTCCTTGCCAATTTCCCAATCCCTTCCTGTTCTAATTCCACCTTTACGTGTCACTCGGTTTTCACAATACCTAGGTCCAACTAGAAGAAGGGCATCGATGGATGGCAAGAGGTAGATTTACAAAAAGCACATTCTTACCCCAGCAATAATAGTGACTTCTCTGGAAAGCAATATTCTGTAAGATCAAAACTTTTAGCTGTCTGTTCCACACCAATAATAGTATAGCCTTCTGTTTTTTTCTGCTGTAAATAATCAACAAGCTGAGATGGCTTCACCTGTCCATCAAAAGTAGAGAGAAACACACAAATATTAAAATACTGCTATTTGTAAACTTCTGAAGTAACTGTAAAAAATATTTACTTGGACAGCTTTTAGCAGGAAGAGACTTATCCCCAAAGACTGTCTATATATGTACTATTTACTATTTTAAAGGTTCTTCAGCAATAGCACCAAGGGTAGGTAATATCACAAGAATTCCCTCCATGAATAAAATGAACAAAGTCATTTCTACACTTCTGACAACTGAATGTAGAAGAATTGCTATTGCATAAGGTAAATGGCATACTTGTTACCTAACCATGGAATCCCTTCCTGAAACAATGTAGTGGTTGGTCAGTCTTGTAAGCCAGTTGTCTTATATGCCTGTATTACAACTTGTCATAGCTTAAATAGAGGTAAATAATTTCTGTTTTTCTTCCAACTCTATACTGCCTATTTGTATTAGATTCCAATTTCTCCATGCAACAGAAGTTGTGTCATCAGTAGAGAAGCACAGAGATTAGGTATGAAAATGTGTGCTCATCAGCATTCTGTTTTAGGCAAAGCACACTACAGCTATATTGCTCTAGAAAAGAAAATTTTAATAAGCTGAAAATAAACACCACGTAAAAAATGAAAAATTCAAACTGAATTTATCAGATGAATTAACTACAGCTGATACTGAAAAACAAGTTACTGTAAAATACCACAACCATATCTTCTATCAAATGGTAAAGATACAGGTTGAAAACCTCATCTTTGTAAGCTAAACAATAAGTTCTAAAAGCTTAGCACAAGCTAGCTTCAGGCAAATTTAATGATTATACACATTAAGTTACCAAAAGCAATTATCTAAGCAAGATAAATGCAGTGTTGTTCAGCTTTCATAAACAAACATCCCACTTGAATACTCTGCTATAAAACACTCACTAAGCTATGATAGCAACTCATGTAATTTATCACAGCAAAATAAAAGCTAAAGTTTTCAAATTCTTTGTTACCAGGCTGACTCAAAGATTTTTCCAAAATATTCAATGTTAAGTGTCAGAAATGACAGCAGGAGCTTGTTAAATAAGAAGCTTAATTTTGCAAGAGGAAAAAAAAGTAAGACTGAACATTTGATAAACTCAAGGCGTGTTAGTTTTTAGCTATTAAACTGTTTCCATTCACCTCAACAAGGGGGAGCCACTGCTCTGCAGAAACACTAAGATGCTGAAACTGTTTATCTTGTACGTAATGAAGACTGCCGACAACTAGTGCAGATGCCCCAAATATTTCACTTGTACGACACAAACCTACAACAGAAGGTTTATTTAAAGTGATTTTTGTAGAGAAAATAATATAAACACCATGCCAGAATATTTTAGCAAGTGAAAAAGGACAAAGAATCCATAAAATGCATTATTATTTTATCCCTCTGTTTTTAATCAGTTTCCTGTATTTTAGGTATTCTCCAAATCATACCTTGTTCCATATATCTTACCAGAAAAAAAAATAAAAAAAAATAAAAAAAATTGTGACTTAGAAGACAGATAAAAATGGAAAAAGCTTTGTCTGGATAGCACACTTCTACAGTACTAACTACACATACTAATGGGCCAGCATAACAGCCTAGGTGTGGATGAATGGACATCTGCACACACGCTTAAGCTCTAAATCCAATACCAGTTAAATAAAAGACTTGAGAATGACACATCACAGCATTACAGGGCAGACAGCACCAGCTTGTGGGCGTATTTTTCATTAACAGTTTACCTCTAGTTATTAAAACTGCTGACAACAGCAAGCACAATGCAATAATGTATTTGTAGGATTTGTTATATCACAGCTTGCACTTGCACAATAGGAACACTCAAAATCAGAAGTGGGTACTTTCCTGTTGTCCAACTGTCACGAGAAACTAGAATTGCTATACAAATCTTGTATATCTACAAGATTTGGTTTAATTGGTATACAAAAAAATAAATCATTTCCCTTTAGTAGCATACACAGTTATGAAAAACTTAACTGTGACAAAGAATATGAATGCAGGAAGAAACCTAGCTGTAAATTAAAGTACAATGAAGTTCTATTTAACTAATGCATGCTACGTGCAAGTTTTTTTGTTTGTTTGTTTTTAATAAATAACTACAGAATACTCTATTTTGTGGAGGGGGTAACATTTGGTTACCAAGTTCTTGAAGGATAATGACCTATTTCTCTGGGTAAAATATTTTTCTTAATATCAACATATTAAAAAAAATCTTACAAGTAATTTTTATTAGCCAAGCATACTCTAAAGTCTAAAATAAAGGTTTTAAAATGTCTATTCAACCTTACCTCCTAAATTGGTAGGTTTATCAATAAGTGAAGCCACCACAATCAGCCTGCTGTTTGATTTACCAAGTTTAGCAGCACGGTCCTGAAATACCATTTCCAGGTCTAAACTTGGAGTACTGTTTTTCCAGGGTATAATCTTTTTCTGAACATCAGTCCATTCTGTTTGGCCATCTGTTTCAACTGAATTTGAACCTATGAAAACCAAGTATTAAGTCATATGGATATAAAAGTCATAGTGAAACTACTGCTTCAGTAAAGAGGATTACCTAAATGGTAATACTGTAGGCAGCGTTAGTCATCTATTACCATTTTATGGGACATGCTATGCTCACACGTATACAAAACTAATATAGCAGAATAATGGAGATTGTGTGCATACTAAGACAAGACTTAGTACAGAAATACACTATTGCTATGCACAAATAATTACATTTAACACAGGTTAGCTGTATTTTACCCATGTCTTGCTGAGACCAGTCACTCGGTTTTAGATCAAGAAGTTCAGTTCGAGATTGATACCACTGAAATGTTGGTGGCAAAGGAATGTCAGTGAATCTGTCAAATTTACAGAGTGAGATCCATTCATCCTCAGCCACTTCTGAAAGGCGTGGAAGAGTGTAAAATATTGTCTGCAATGTAACACAGTATTATTAGCAGAGCATCACTCAAAGCATTCACAGTAGGTAATAAATTAACTTCTAGGCAATTTTATAGCACACATCTTTTATCCATCATCCCGTGTTTTTAATACAAGTTTTTATTGCCATGTGACTTAACTTGCTAACAACCCTCATGAATCACCTCTTTACATGGAGTGCTATCCCAAACTTTCATAATGCTACTCTCTCCAGTTAGATGTTTTTAAGGATATGCATTGATTACTGTTCTATACTTTTCAGCAGAGGACTTGTAAAAATGTTTTATGCATAACGCACTAAAGGGTTTTCAGACACCCTCATGAACTTCAAGTAAATAAAGCAGATTGCTTTAATGGCAAGAGGAATATGGTCAAAA